CATCCATCCATCCATCCATCCATCCATCCATCCATCAATCCATGCAACCATCCATCCATCGATCTTTCCATCCATCCATCCATTCATCCATCAATCCATGCAACCATCCATCCATCGATCTTTCCATCCATCCATCCATTCATCCATCAATCCATGCAACCATCCATCCATCGATCTTTCCATCCATCCGTCCGTCCATCCATCCATCCATCCATCCATCCATCCATCCATCCGTCCATCCATCCATCCATCCATCCATCCATCCATCCATCCATCCATCCATCCATCCATCCGTCCATCCATCCATCCATCCATCCATCCAACCATCCATCAATCCATGCATCCATCCATCCATCTGTCCATCTTTCATCTATCAACCTATCCCTCCATCCATCCATCCATCCATCCATCCATCCATCCATCCATCCATCCATCCATCCATCCATCCATCCATCCATCCATCCATCCATGCAACCATCCATCCATCGATCTTTGCATCCATCCATCCATCTGTCCATCTTTCATCTATCAACCCATCCCTCCATCCATCTATCTATGCATCCATCCATCCGTCCGTTTATCCATGCATCCGTCCATCCCTCCCTCCCCCTTCAGCAGGGATCATTTTGGGTCCGGCACAGATAACAGGTGGAACTGATGAAGGATCTTGATTCTGGTCAGAGCTCCTCTGCGTGTGTGAGATTTACCAGCAAATGTGGGGCAAAGGGGAACTCCGACGGCCAGCTTGTTTTTAATACCTTGCATGGCGTTGTGTGGCAGCTTGGGCAGCGCGTCGAGCTTCTCCCAGGAGTAAGATGGTGTGGGAATGCCTTCCTCTGAGCTGCAGAACAGCATGATGTCGCTGCCTACATCCAGCGTTCCCTGGATTCGACAAGCTGGCACTGAGGGGGGCACTAGCAGATGGGAAGAGTGGGTGGTGTCGCGTTAACCACTTTACAAAGCAAAAATTATGTTGTTTTTTTTTTCATTGCTCATCTGCTCAGAGCAGAGGAAAATACATAGTTAAAATAAGCTGTAGAATCACATTAAATAAAGATGATTTGCTGTCGACTGCAGTTCTCCAATCATGCTGAGAGAGTAGCAGATTTTAACCACTATTTAGTCATATAGGAGATAGTGCTTACAAACAGTGAGACGCTTTTAAAAAACATAGTGTGGTGATGTGCAGTTAGTTACCCAACACCGTGAGCCCAATGACGCCAATGTTCCGCCCCCCTCCGTCAGGAAAGTTATTCACCAGGCACTGATACGTCCCAGTGTCAGACAGCTGGGTGTTGTTGATGAAGATGGAGGCACTTGTGCTTGGCATAGTGGTCGCAAAGCCAACACGACCCTTGAGGTGATTGGGAAGGGTAAACACCTGGCCATTCTGGTATATTATCACCTATGTTTGGAATCACAGAGATAGAATGGAACAGCCAAAAAGATGGTAGGAGTGGAAATGGAAAGAAAACAAAACAATTGGTCATTTTTTTGTGCCATTTTGTACAAAACAATAAAGTAAAGCGCTTTGAAAATGTATTTTACCTTCAAAGTTTTCTGCTTTTGTGTTGCTATACTTAAATGTTTTTTTTAAAAAGTAAAAAAAAAAAAAAAAATCCACTGGATTTTGTTTTGTAAAGTTTGAGGCTTTATACTAGCCTCGTGAGACCAGCTTTCAAGGTTTCACTCACAGATCAGTCTGGAGACTCTCCGTTAAAGAAAATTTGGAGCACTTCACCAAACGAACGTCCAATCAGCGTTGGCTTTGAGGCGGGTTGAGGTGTGACTAAATGAGAAGCGCGACAGTTCAGTCTAAAGAACATGGCGGCTTCAGCCGATGAAACTAGCGTTAGCATGGCTATCGAGCAAGTTTTATCGGAATTACAGAGTATTTCTTCACTGAAAGAAGAGCAAAACACTGCTCTGGAGGCTTTTCTCAGAGTAAAAGATGTTTTTGCTCTTCTCCCGACTGGTTTCGGCAAGAGTAGCCTGGCTTGTGGTTGTGTTTTCGTCGTCGCTCTGTTATAAACAAGGTTTTATTAATATAGGGTTTTTGATTAAAATACAATTAATTAATTGCAAACCTTGCAGTTAGCTTGACTTAAAAAAGGTTATCCAGCCCCGTCATATATATTTAAATATGTTTATATATATATATTTGTATTTAAGTTTTGTCCTCATCTCTGCTGTCTGAAGGTTAATTTTTTTTTAGCAAAAAACATATTTTATATTCTAGCTAAGAATTAGATTCTATTACCAAATTAGCAGATGATGATGGGAAAAAAAATCCATTAATCAAAATAAATCTCATCAACTATTTTAGCCTTAATGCCTTAGCCTTAATCACAAAACTTTAACTTTTTGAAACTAGAGTCTTCATTGACCATTTGGACAAATAATAAAGATGAAACATCAGTTTCTACTTTCATCATTTGTGATACATTAGACATTTCCATGCAGCTGATTTTCTTTTTATGTGTCTGAATATAAAACCAGACACAAAATTAAAGTTAAATCACAATAATAATGTAGAGGACTCAAAAGCTCATGTATCAAATATGATATCAAGGTTTACATGTTTGATGTTTTAACCTCCTTCATCCTTTCAGAGAGGTTCTGATGTAATGTCTCCACACAAACTGTGGAGCTTTTCAGTAAAAAAAAAAAAGTTTTTATTTACCCGGGCTTTTTTTTGTTTGATTCCAGATTTCATGAGACAATCATTAACATTTAAGTTTAACAGAAAAAGCAAAACCAGAAGGAATCTATAAAGGGAAAATACAAAGCACTTTGAAATGCTAGTAAAAGTTTAAAGAAAGAGAATACATTTCTTAACAACTCGCTATAGATCTCTCACACTAGATGGGGACCTATTTCTACTGTAAGCACAAAAACACACAGACTAAATAAAGCACCGAAACTGACTTTTATTTCTGTACAACAAACAGACAAACTGAAAACCTTTTATTTGTGAGTGGTCTTTTTCTGGCTTACATGGTTGATTTAGGTAGAAAGGGTAGACACTAAAAGTATGCTTTCATGTTACTATAAGGTTTTTCAGATGAAAGGATTTCCTAAATGGAATACATAATTGAAAACATTTTATCTTGGAAACATCAAAACTAGAAACATCAAGATTTCTAAAAGAGAAATGAAGCCAATCTGCTGGACGAGAGAAAAATCTAAATGTTCTTTGGTCCCATCTGATAATGATGGTGCCAAAAACCTTCAGTAGATAAGGTTACAGCCGTTCAGGTGGAGTTAAACGGTAGCCTCGTGAGACCATCCTGATCTCGCGAGCTTTCAAGATTTCACTCGCTAATCAGTCTGGAGACTCTCTGTTAAAGAAAATTT